CCGCATCTCTCACGATTGTGCTGCGGTCTCGGAGGCGAGATTGGATGAAGACGAATGCTTCCGGGAGGTGGAGAACAGCTGAACTCAGCGGTTTTCACGATGGCTGATCAGCCAAGATCGTAAGCGTATCAAGAGCATACTAGTTCATCCGATAGCACCTATATAGTTATGAGTCCCATTTGTAGCCCACAGAACAGCATACATCAAGCCCAGCTTTCACTCTCACCGAACGTACCCATACGATGTATCCTAGACCGGCTAGGAGATGGCTCGTATTCTAGCAAGTCAGCCTATTAAATCACCACAGTATTACAAAATGAAGATAGGAATGGAAAGAGTGGCAAGAGGCGGAGGGCTAACTCGCGTATTTACCGTAATAGATCTAAATCCATTCTCAATACGCGTAATGAGATATATTGAATTTTACAATGCGCATGCTGCTGGCAGAAACCACGTCAAGTTTTCTTTCTTGCATGTAGATTAGCTCAAGTACAAACCCAATGTTTTGGATGTTCGGCCGACCACGGCTACTTCGATTGCCGCAAAACATAATAACTCGGGCAACTCCGCCATCCCCAACCATGGGTCTGTGTGCGTGCGAGAGCCGTATCTTACTCCACAAGATAATTATAGCATCATGGATTTTAGTCGTTCAGCCTGCACCCATTAGTTCACGACTGGCAGTATATAATATCTGCTTTTAAAACTCACGTATCTAAGATAACGCCTCATAGTCTCTTACATGTTTCGATACGAGATGATGGATTTCATCTACGACACTTTCGGCCTTGAGGTATGTATCACTGACATCCATTTCTTGAACCCTGACGACCGAAAGATGGACCAGAAAGACCAACGGTCGTGTAGCGAAACAAAGAAACCCAGATCTTCGTGAAATATATCTCTATAAACTCTCTGGTTGCCACTCGTATCAATTGGTCTTTATCGATGAGTCTGGCTGTGACAAACGGAGCGGGCATTGACGTCAGGGCTGGGCGCCGAGCGGAGCAACACCCGTGCAGGTTGATGAGTTCAACCGTGAACAACGGTTTCAGATTCTTGCTGCGTATACACAGAGCGGCGTCAAGCTTTCACGCATCTACACTAGATCCACTGATGCCGTAATATTCGAGGACTTCATCGAGCAGCTTCTGTGTCACTGTGGTAAATGGCCGGCGCCGGACCTGTGATGATATTTGAGTAAGAATAAGAGTGTTCTCAACTATGGAGAATCGGACAAATTGAATGTTCTTAAGACTCTCAAGTATCACCTACCAACAGCTTCGGCTCGAGAATCACCGACCCTGGTTCGCCTAGCACTCGGCTGTGCCTTTCATTAGAATCACCAGGCTCTTCTGTTGGCGTGTAACCACCCGGTATTAGGCTTTCTGAAACTAGCATGCCCGTTTGGCTTGTTTTAAATGGTTAAATTCACTGAATAGTTACTTGCGATGAAGAGACTGGGTACATCACACGGAATAGCTTGGCCCACGCAAGCGTTAGGTTTAATACTACATACATTCTATAGTTTGCGTGACTTGCAGCAACGGGCAAAAGGGAACCGATTTGGGCCCTGCTATCAAACGGTGGCCTACAAATGAGTTCGGCAGCCCTACATAGTTTCTATCGATGAAGACCGTAGGAAAGAGGAAATGAAAAATACCTTAGCATAAGAGAAGGGAAAGTTTACGAAAGAAAGGCCAATATCAAGGCAATGTGGTTCAGAAAGAAGCTGGATATTTGGAAGACAATTGGAGGATGTATCGTATATAGGCGGAGCGCACGGAGTGAATGTTTCAGCCGAAGTTCCTTTGTTGTCAAGGCAGTTCCGCCGTAATAGACCAGTTGGGTATTCTGACAGATGTAGGAATTCTGCCTCTCTAGATTCTCCATTTACAATAATGGTCTAATTAATGCCGCCGGAGAGCGGCGCCTGGTAAGCATTCTGACAAAACCTAATCTAGTACTTTCTACCCCTTTCAATCTGACAAATGCACCTACGTGTACAAGGATTCGGTGTGTAGATGCGCCAGTGCTAAAGCAAATACTCTTTAGGCCAGCCGGGGTGTGGTGCCGGATGCAAGCCAGGTCGATTGTCTTTCCTGCAAGTCGGCCAAGCATGTATGCCAACACGTTATAGTTGCTCGGCACTTGGGGAGACGGCTGCAGGTTTCCTAGGTTCCACTGCGGTTGTTGGGCTAGAGTGGGTGATCCGTTTGGCGTCCGTTGGCGACGACATGACCGACGTAGAAAGCGACGACAGCCTCTTTAATGAGACCGCCGGCAAATAACGCCCCTCGACTAAGAAGCGACGTCGCCGCAACAGTGACCTTGCCTATCGCCAAACTCAGAGATATAATGCCCTCTCGCTCTTGGTCCCCTTCCTTCCCCTCCTTGTCCTTTAATCTTCGCCCTTGCCTTACCAATTGACGAATCCTCTTCACAATCTCAATCTTAACCGCCCAGTTGCTGTTTCGCTTCGGACATGACCATCACCCATGTGCAACCGAACGACAATCTCTACTTACAAAGCATCGCGAGGATGTCTAATGCTACTTCTAGGGTTGCCCTGAAATGTGGACTTCAATGTCCCGCCGCTTTCTAAGGCAACCAGACTTTCCCAGGACTTGGGGGGCCTAATGCCTGTTGAGCAAGGCAGCCAGACAAGCAAGACCGAGCAGCATACCGTCACTCTAGACACTTCATTTACAGGGCCGGGAGTAGCAGGGTAGCAAAGAAGAGGAAGGTCGCAATGCCCGTAAAGTGATTTCGGACAGATAACGGGTGGCTTAGCGCATTTACCGGCTCGGATTGTAAATCACAGCGTGGTAAAATGAGTGGTAGACGTGGTTTGGTTTACGAAATATTACGTCACGATATTTGGACTGCGAAAAGCTCAAGAATATTTTGCATAATTTCACGTATCTAAATACGGTGAGGTGAAGAGTAGGAGGCACAGGACTGGTAATTACGGAGCGATGAGGTAATCAACCACTTAGAAGGGGCCCATCAAGTTAAAAGCGGCACGCAGAAGGAATTCCCTTCTGCGGACTAGCCAATGTGTGATGGCACGGCAACCGTCAAGGCTATATAGAATAACACACCCAGAATGACAAGGACCGCTGACTTGTTATTCTGGCATACCTTTTGGTAGGTTTGGCATAGTGGGGTTGTGTTCATTGTGTCTGCCGTCACACAATACATGCACTTAATGATTGCTGTATTCTGGCCTGTTGGGTTATGCGGTCCTTTATATCATGATGATAACGGTGTTGGGCCAAAGACCGCGCTTCGTGCTCAATGTCGAAGCAGGATTAGTAGATTGCCATTTCGTCATAAATAAATATGCAGAAGACGCTAGAGTTCGTAAATAAGTATATATTTACATGTCCTCCCGGGCCCCTCTGGTGGCACGCTCTGATTAGAAAATATAGAAGGAAAATGTGAGGGCCTGGTCCTCCAGGCCTCCCAGACGCTCTGACTAATCAGACGCCAGTTGGGTGGATCCACCCGACCAGCCAGAGCCCCACCTTGAGACGCCCTGGAAGAATCTCGCGACGGGAGGCTTTTGAGCTTCTTTTCCCTTTTCCCTTTAGTTTAGAATCTTCGTCTATAGCGCCCAATAGAGGAGTTCCGCCCTCATTCCAAGCCGGCCGTGACAGAAAAAAGAGAGGAGAAGAGTGTGGAAGTAAATGTGGAAACGAATGTGCGGTTATTTATGGCTTTTGGTGATAACTTTACCACTGCTTCCTCCCCGTTCCGGCATAGCAGTAACCGTTTATCTCCGCCCATCGCTTCAGTAACGGCGCCCTTCTCTAACAGTGACTTTTTCACCAATTCCTTCCCGCTACGCTACCCATCACCTAAGAAACATGTCTAAAACCGACCCTTATAAAACCATCATCCACAGCGTACCAATATACATGTTCCTCAAAGCTTTTCCGCAGCAAGCCTTGTATAAGGGTTTGATATATAGGCTAAGGACGTCTAGCGATAACGTTACTTGATTTATAAGCGCCTTAATTGCTGCCTGTCGGACGGCCCTGTCCTAATGCTTAAGCCGTGCTGCGATGCCTTGCAGCATCCCCTCGGTAAAGTTCGTCCGGCCCTAAATTACATCGATTACTACCCATCAGACGGCCCGGTCCCGATACTCAAGCCGTTAGCACCCTTATGGTGAGGTCGGCTCATCCTTATGCTCAAGCCGTGCTGCGATGCCGTCGGGCGAGAACGCGACGGACGTGAACGAGCCGCTATGGCCTTTCAGCTCCTGCACACAGCGGCCAGAGGCTGCGTCCCAGAGCCGGACGGTCTGGCCACTTGATGCCGAGGCCACCCGAGTGCTATCGGGCGAGAACGCGACGGAATTGACCGAGATGCTATGGCCTTTCAGCTCCTGCATACAGCGGCCAGAGGCTGCGTCCCAGAGCCGGACGGTTTGGTCGCGCGATGCCGAGGCCACCTGAGTGCCATCGGGCGAGAACGCAACGGAAGTGACCGAGCCGCTATGGCCTTTCAGCTCCTGTACACAGCGGCCAGAAGCTGCGTCCCAGAGCCGGACGGTCTGGTCGCTCGATGCTGAGGCCACCTGAGTGCCGTCGGGCGAGAACGCGACGGACCCGACCCAGCTGCTATGGCCTTTCAGATCCTTCACACAGCGGCCAATCCCCTCAATGAGGTCGGCCCGGCCTTAAAGCGCCTCGATGGCTGCCTGTCGGACTAACCCATTCTTATCCTCAAGCCGTACTACGATGCCTTGTAGCATCCCCTCGGTGAGGTCGGCCCGGCCTTGAAGCGCCTCGATGGCTACCCGTCGGACTTACCAATCCTTATCCTTAAGCCGTGCTGCGATGCCTTGTAGCATTCCCTTGGTGAGGTCGGCCCGGCCTTGAAGCGCCTCGATGGCTGCCTGTCGGACGAACCCATCGTCATTCTCAAGCCGTGCTGCGATGCCTTGTACCATCCCCTCGATAAGGTCGGCCCGGCCTTGAAGTGCCTCGATGGCTGCCTGTCGGACTAACCCATCTTCATCCTCAAGCCGTGCTGCGATGCCTTGTAGCATTCCCTCGGTGAGGTCGACCCGGCCTTGAAGCGCCTCGATGGCTACCCGTCGAGACTTAAGCTCAGGTTTGTTACTGTTTCCTCCGTGCCTTTCCTCTTGGACTGGCAACACCTTACTGGCATCGAGGGGTCTTTTTGGGGGCCAAGTTGGGTGTTTCGGTTTCCAAAACGCAACGCAAACCTACAAGCCTAATCACAGAATTCAACTGTCACGGCGCCCCAGCTAGAAAGATGTCATGAATTATTGACCTACATCAAACGCGCGCGGGCGATCCCGCCCTCCTGGTAGCGCTAGTTTTCTTTGCGGGCTATGCCTTTCCATCCCATCTTTTTCGTCCCCCCATCCATCATACACGGATCGATGGGATCGTCACTACTCCCAAACCAATGCAACGGACCGAAACAGTCTGCCTCCCACTACCTAATTAAGGCCTTGTTACATGTGCCGCTAGGCTACCGACAGTCTGGAAACTGTGCGGCGGTGGCTACCACTACTTGTCACCGTCCCTCCAACTTCAACTGCCAAACTAAACTAAACTAACCTATTACACCCCCTCAAATGTAGGCTCGAATCAACTTCTGAATCTGGATGCACAGATAGTCCGCTCCTCCTCAATGTCGGGGCTGACCCCGCCCTCGCCAGGAGCCGGAGAAGGGGGAGGAGGCGCAGGAGTGGCAACGATCCCTGTGCCAAACATCGTCGAGCCAGTATCAATCGTGACATTAACTGGCGCTGCCGATGTAGCCGTAGCAACAACTCCTTCCCCCGACGAGGCCCCGGGGGCCATCTTGAGCTTGGCATCGCCCACCACGGCGCTGCACTTGGCGGCCGGCTACGGCAGGCGGTCGCACCGGCTGCGCCCGATGCAAGGCGCGCAAAATCAAGGTGAGTCCGAGACCGACCCCAATACGACCCCGAGCCCGACCTCGAGGCTGACGGACCTTGTTGAGGTTGCAATGCTAACTCCTGCCACTGCCAGTGCGACGAGCGGCACCCCTCGTGCCTCAACTGCATCTCGCATGGCGTCGAGTGCCCGTTCCTGGCGCTCAAGACGGCCGACACGCCCGTCCGGGCCAACAGCCGCACGACGCCGTCGTCGGTATCGTCACGGCGGTCCCCGTTTGCCTCGTCGACCGGCGTCTCCTCCGCCACCGCCTCCTCCACGCCGCCGCTCTCGTTATCCCCACACCCTCACCCGCCGGCCCCACCAGCACTCGGCGCCACCATCTCCCCGACGACGGACACAACCGTTTTAGACTACGACTCGGACTAGGACCCGGCGGCCGCGCCGCTACCGCTGCTGGAGCTTGAGCTGCTACACAACTTCACGGTGCACACGCACGCGACGCTGGCGGCCGACGCTGGCGTGTGCGACTTCTGGCGCGTCGCCGTCGCGCGCATCGGCCTCGGCTGCGACTACATCATGCGCTCCGTGCTAGCCGTCAGCGCCCTGCACCTGGCCTACCACCGCCCCGACCGCCGCGACTTCTACACGGCCCAGGGCATCCTGCTGCACACGCGCGCCAGCCGGTCCGCCATGCACCTGATGGCCGCGGCGGCAGCAGCAAACAGCAACAACGACGGCGGGGACGACCATAACATGGCGTCACCTGCGCCTGCGCCTGTGGGGCTCAGTGACGACGACGCCGTCAACCTGTTCCTGTTCAGCATGCTGACCGTGTAGCTTTGCGCTGGCGAGCCCGCCGCTGGCGGACGGGTCGTTCTTCATCATCGGGTCGACAGCGGCGAGCGGCGGCAGTGTGGCTAACTTCCCCGACTGGACGTTCCTGCTGAACGGCGCCAAGTCGCTCAGCAACGTTGTCGGCGAGCGCGGGCCCGACACGCTGCTGGCGCCGTTTCTCGTCTACGGCACGCGGCGGCGGCACGCCTCGCGCCGCGACAGCAAGGATGCCGCCACCAGCCTCGACGGGACTGGGACTGGTATTGGCGAGGATGGTGGGAACGACGGCGACGACTGCGCGCCGCTCCGCGAGCTGCGGCGGCGGACACGGCGCTCGGGCACACGTACGCGCACGCGCTGGACGAGCTGGAGCTGGCGCTGGGGGCGCGGTAGCGGCAGCGGCGGCAGGGAGAAGGCGCCGCGGGGGCGCCGCGCGACGTCTTGGACGCCATGCTGTGGCTGTGGGAGGTGTCGGACTCGCTGGTGCCGTTGCTCAAGGGCCCCGAACCGGCTCAGGAGGCCGTGGCCATCTTTGCCCACTTCTGCATCCTCCTCCGCCACCACGAGAGCGTGTGGTGGCTGTAGGGCTGGGCCCACCACCTCGTCTCGTCCGCCTACAACATCCTCGACCCGGACCACCGGCCCTGGATCGACTGGCCCATGCGCGAGATGGGGCTGCTTCACGACGGGTACATGGTGATGTGGCGGGGTCTGAATATCTATCTTCTGTTGTGATGTCATCGATTTCGAGGACTCGGTTAGTTCTCACTGGCATTGTCAGCTTCAGAAGCGCTCGGTGGACGTCCGCCGTCAGCTAAGACGTGGTGTGTTGTTCCATATACGGCCGTTGTTTTGACTTGATAATTGGTAACATGGTTACCCAACCCCCCCTACTCGATCACAATTTGTTAATAGCTCATAATTAATTTTCTAATGCATTGATACCTGTTTGCTTTCTTTCTCCCTGGCGTAACTCATCTCATGCTGATTATGACCACATGCAATAACATCAGTCATATTATCTAAGAGCCACTCACTTTGGACGCGAAGAACGTCTCATCTGTTTCTCATACTGAGTTGGACTTGGAGGCTCGTCCACGCTGGCTTAGCACTGGAAGCTCCCTTGGGTTTGCAAGACCAAGTGCATCTCTCTCGGGTCTTGACATTCCTGACATGGTATCCTAGGTTCTTCATCTCTACTACGGCAAACCGTCAACCTACCGGCGGCCCCGACGTGACAGAGCCCACCCGAGTCAGTTTGATTTTGTACAGACCATTCTTGAGAAGAACTTTGATTGGCTAGTCATAGTTCTACATAGGGAGTTGGAGGAACGCTCTCAGGGAGACTGTTCCTCAGCCATCAATGTATACGGTTTATCTGATTGAGAGGGAGCCTCTCGTAATCTGTGTATTTTTGTTTGCTCCTTACACTCTACCTTACCTGTGCGGTTCACTCAGTCTAGCTTACCCAACCCACCCTCACGATCACAGTCAGAGACTGGCTCCGTGGAACCTGGTGTATTCTAGATTGTAATACGCACCCTACTTCCCTATAGACCGCGCCTAAGGATTCCTTTTCTTTCTTTATTTCCTCAGCTTTAGATTCTACGAATACAGCTACATAAATATAGCCTTGTCTCTTGGATGTCGCTGTGTTGTCACACCCGTCTCAGAATCTAATGAGATTCGTAATAGTAAGCTCTACCTAAGGCTAGTACCGTAGTTATTATGTATATCTAGTTACGGCCAACTTATAAGAGAGGACCCAAAGCTCTCGAGGCTCAGGTCTAAGCAACTGGTCAAACTAAGGACCCGGGCCTGCTCCGGCTTGGGTTCACCCCAATTGGCTCGCATTCTCCCTGCCCTACCAGGCCAAGGGCGGCGCCAACAAGCGGGGCGCACCACCCTGAACACTAGGGGGCCTCTCCTCTCGCTCCACCTCTATACATAATGAAATCTTAACATACGGCCCAGGCCTCGGCCTGCTGGGCACCGTGGTATAGAACCGCCTCTGAGAGTTTTTCGTCGTCGGTAAACTTCATATGCTCCTTGAGGAAGGAAGCGAAGCCCAGTAGCACTTTTTCAGCCTTTTTAACCTGAACAGTCGCTTCCAGAGCGACGAATTCTGACCTGTCCGTGACGCTATTTCCAAACGCCCTGCGGCTCCATTTGTCGAGCAGGTAGGACTCCTTGTCCTCTTTCTGCAGAGGGTTCTCACCCGGCTTCTGGCGATTGGCCCTCCTCGGCGGTCGCAGAGGGTGCTCATTCAGCTTCTGTCGTCCGTCTTGAGATTGCCACTGGATCCTATCTTTGCCCACAGTCTCCAGTCTGGTCCACGACGTTGTCCATGACTCCAGCGGGTGGCATTGATTCTTGTTCGTGGCCATGGCTAACCGTATCGTGAAGTGGATCTCGGATGGCAACGAAGCCGACGATAGCAGACTCTCACTGCGTGGCCCGCGACCGAGCAACCACCAGTACCACGCCTGTCGAGTCGCCAAGCCTATCACAACGTGCATCGTCAGCTTTTCCGAGGCAATAATTATATGCCAAAAGAGTCTTGTTGCGCTCACTTACCCGACTGGCGCATATCGGACAGTCTTCTGGTCTCTTTGAAGGTGCGGCGCAGTTTGTTCACAGAGAAGTCCCACTCGAGGTACTTGTGCTTGAGGTGCTTGGCAATCTGGTTCTCATCAAACGAGACACGGACCTCGTCGTTCAGTTTTCCCACCATCCACAGCAAGCTCACGGCTCCCAGGGCAGCATCTCCGTTACCGCCGACGTCTCCGTGGGATCCCAGGAACCAACACTGGCTGACGCTCGACTCGGACCCGTCACCGCCGTCCGTCGGCTCCCATACTAGTGGCTTAAATTTGGCGCGCTCCTCGTCCAAGGCCAGCGCATGGAAGGCGTGCCGGACTTGGGCGGGGACCACCTTGCCCACAAACGCGAGTGACCGAGGGTGCAGCTGGAAGGGGCTTCCCAGCGCGCCGACAGTGTCCCAAACCGCTAGCGCCGTGATGTCGACGGGATGACGGAGCACCTCTGAGTTTATCAGCCTCTGCCGCTCTTTCTGGAACCTTTCTCGTCCCCCTAGCACTTCTTGTTTCGCCCATAGGGTGAACAGGCCCCGGAGGTAGTAGAGGTGATGCTTTTTGAGCAAGCCTGCGTCGCTAATGAAGGAGGCGAGGCACTGTACGGCAAAGGCGCCGCGCGAGAAGCCGATGAGGACCGTCTCGTCCCTCCGGTCAAAGTTCCAGTTATGAGACAGAAAACTATACGCATTTCGGATTTTTGCCGAAATCCCTGGCGCACCAAATCAATGTCAGGTTGTCTGATAGTCAAATCACCCTTCTTCGCTCGACTCACCTCTGCCAAAGGCCCCGTCAACGACTTTCGACAGCGCACCCGACGCGTTGCCGATCCCGCTATCATAGTAGACCACCTGGAGGCAGCCGTCGTTGTCGATTGGCGTCAGACACCGGGCCAGCGTGGCGACGTTGGTCAAGGGTCGCGTCTTGTTGACGCCGTCCTGCCATGTCCCATCGCAGAGAACAAAGAGGCGTTTCTTGATCTCTCGGGCAACAGCTAGGGCTTGCGAGTCGATCTCGTGCTCATGTTGGGCCATTGGCTTGTTGATGCTGTCTTTATCTGGCGGTGGAGGATGCTGGCCTTGGTGTCTAGAGGTAAAAGTTGGCCATGTTACGTCTCTGCTCTGCTGAACTCGCTACTTTGGTATTTTTTTTCTTTTCAACTCAGCTACTTGGGCCGCTGCTCGGCTGCTCCCTTGCAACCCAAGAACAACGCATCTAAAACCAGCCACTAACCGCCTTAGCGGACCAGTCCAGCCAATCAAGGGGCCAGCCAAATGCAGGCAGACTCGTGGGCATTCCGTGACTAAGTCGGGGCCGAAGTAGTCTAGACTTGCTACAGACTCTTCCCAGCATAGTGTCGGGACACTGCGCCAGGGCATCGGCACGTACCTAAATGTACCTGTAGAGGGGCGCAGGGGGGCGCACAAAGGTTCGGGATGAGAGGTGATGTGTTTATCTTTGATTGGCCAGAGGCAGGGGTTTGCAGGGCACGATCCAAGCGTGGCCTAGCCGCGCCACCAGCCTATCCCCCCACCATAGATTCCTGCAAGCAATCCATCACAACATTTCCTGCGCAAGTGCCCCTGGCATTGGTTATGAGCTCCTTTGCTTCTGCAACTGAACCTATTCGCATCAATGGTGCATCAAAATAATAATTATCGTAACACGCGCATACACAACGCAGTACTTTTCATCAAGAAGAACCGCTTTGCGCGCGCGCATGCTGCACTTGAACCGGCCAGGAACATAGCCCTACATCGGCCCCCGCCTGAAGAAGTGCCCTGCGAAGTCATCACCGGCTTCGACCATTCGGAATCAAATCAACGGCATTCGACCGTCAACGGCTTCAGGACCTTTCCACTTCCTCAACGGCCTTGTGCATACCCTCATGGACTTGACTGTCAAATAGATGGAGGCATACGGTTGGAATGACCTAGAGGAAGACCCCAAAGTAACATGTAACACTGTTGGCATCACTAGGGGTACCGGTACTCGACTCAACAGGGCGCGCTGCGCGCCGTAAGCTGGTGGTTCAAGTGTTGGTATTCGTTGTGTATGTCTCTTCTATCCAGGAGATGCCCTGAGCAGGCGGCCGAAGGCCTGTATATATAGCGCAGGGCTAGGGGCCCTGCGCCTCCACAGCCACTGCCGTGCCTGAGCCTGGGCATGGCTCCTTGGCTAGCGCGCTTATTCCAACATTAGGAGTCTCTTCGTTTGAGGCTGGAAAGACGCGCTGCATATATCTATATACATCAAAACAAACGAACAAACTGCCTCCACCCGGGCCCTTGTTGCTTCCATACCGGCCGTAGCGGTGTTGACGTCAACGAACCGCTGCAAGGCCCGTTTAGACGCGGCCTTCGTCAGGGAGTCGGCGAGGTTGTCGTCGCCGTAGATCCACCTGACCTCGTGTAGTTTGCGGCGCTCGTAGGATTGCCGTAGGGCCATGATGTCGATCATCGACCTCTTCTCTTTCGTTGTCCCTAGTTTGACAAGGCATTCGTAAAACGAGTATGAGTCTGTACATACTACTGTAGGGACGGTAGGAAGGTTGAGGTGTGTTGTCATGACCTGAATCGTGGAGGCTAGGGCGTAGGCCATGTCTACGCCGGCCACCATGCCGTAGACGGAGGCAAGCATGCTGCGGGTGACTCGCTTGCTCTTCGTACTGGAGAAGTGGATGAGGTTACCATGTATAGTAAATTGAGCATCTACTGTAGTCTCGTTGGCTAGGATGATCACGAAGCCGAGCTGTGATGTGAGGTCCCGATTATTGGCGAATGAGCCATCGACGAAGACGAAGAGCTTCGCCTAGGTCAGGTCTAAAAGAATAAAGGCTAGACCGCGGGCCTGGTTGCTGATCTGCAAGTCGATACGGCGGTTGAGGGCCTTGAAGTCATCTGGCGTTGGCTCCTGGTGTTGTGCTGCACTCGAGAGGTCGAAGCAGGCTTCAGGTTGACAGATGGAGGCGATATACGCGCCCCGGGCCTCGCTGCTCAACGTACTGTTGTGTAACAAGGGGCTACCTGACCAATCAGAGCTTAGGAGGAAAGATGATGATTAGATAACGGCTTGGATCTGACTGTGGCCCTGTGGGCACTGAACAGACTCGAATTATAATAATCTTCTATGGGAACAAGAATCCTTGCCTTTTCTTCAAACTTAATGGACAAATATCTCTTCTTTTATCCTTGACAACTTGGCCCTGTGGCCTGCTTCTACCTAATTCCATCAGCTTCCTCCTGGCCCCTACGTGGTCTAACAAGATTGCTCTATATGATGGTAGGTAGTTGACAACGCCAACAAACATCTTCCAGCCCTTCGTTGGCTGTGGAGCTCTCCGCGATAAGCGCGTGGCTTGCCTCTAAGGCACTAACATCATTAAGGGTGGCAAATGCCTACCCTAACCCTGATGATCCTGATTCGTGTGACATGTTGCTTGGCATCAACTGCATCGCTGTCGACAGGTCGTAGCCTTACGGCCTGGCCTTTTTGCCGTAGGGTGACCGTACCGTCGGCAGTAAGCGTGGCGATCCCTTCGTTGAAGGCCAGCGGTCCTTCGGAAGTCAGGACTTGCTTAGGCTTTGCGCTAAACGCGGCCTCTATCAACTCCTCTTCCTCACGGCGGGAAAAGGCCTCGGCTGACAGGTCGATCGTGTCGTCGGCCTGCATCCCGACGCAGACAAATTCTGGTTTTCCGTACTGGAAATCAACAAGCAGGGGTCGTACGTTGATGTACTCATTTGGAGCCTATCCAACTGATGCATATGGTAGGTAGCCAACCAGTGGGTCCCTGCCTCAGCCAGGCCGTATAACGGCTTAACTACCCGCATGACGGTGCCCTCGGGGCACTGATCCTGGATTTGCTTAGGCAGGTAGGCAAGGATTTTGCGGTTGAGGTCCGTTTCTGACTGAACGTAGGCCTGCGTGATGTCCCCGAGCCAGGTAACCATACCGCGTTGCATAAGCGAAGGAGCGAGTGCCAGAACAAGGTGTTGACTGGTCCGCTGTATCGTTGGCGACTGGGTCAGAATAGACTCCTTACCGTCGTCTGCGTAGCCTTGAATGATGAGGCGTGACTTTTCGTAGGGCGTGGTAGTGTTCTTGCCCCTGACTTCGTTGACGATGCGGGACTTGAAGATACGAATCCTCGGTCAGCCGAGGGTAGGCGCCGAAGACTAGGAGCGTGGGGACAAGGCCGTCAGGGCCGGCCGTGTCGTTGACGGCTTTGACGGCCATTTGCAACGCTGCTTCCGGGCTGGCTTCGGGGTCTTCGGTCTTGTGGATGGTATATGCCCGGCGCAGTGGTGTGTGGGTCGTCGACCAACAGCCGGGCTTGCCACATACGTAGCACTTCTTGCCTGACAGGGATTCTCGGATCTGGAAATTACCGCGCCGCGGTCTTCCCTGGTCCTTACGCCCGAAGCGGGCCTCCCGGCCGTTGCCCTTGAACGTTCGGTCAGTCTAGTACTGCTGGGCTTCTTCCGGGCCGGTGTTGAACTGTTGGCTCTGTGGTTGAGCTGCAACGTTGGTGCCGCCCGCAGTTGCTCGCGTACGGGACCCCTCGCAAAACCCTCTGATTGGGTGCATCGGTTTTCGGGTTTATGGTCAGTGCGCACCCCACTTCCCACAACTGCAGTGCCCGCAGGTGAACTAACAATGGCCCGTGCGCCCACACCCATCCCTTCGGCCGCGAATGCCAACACTTTGAACCAGCTTACGGTGCGCAGCGCGCCCTGAGTCGAGTACCGGTATCCCTGATGATACCAACACAGGTACTATTCACCAGCGGTTCTTCGATCGGCGTTGACGATACGCGGGTCTTCTTGGGCCTTTTCGTGCTCCCGGCCTGGAAATGCAATCCTGTTCTTATATTACGGATCCAATATTCGGCGACAAGGCAACTCTAATTGAGATGCAACACTCGCAGAGGTGGTGACGCACTCGCAGAGCATCTCCACCGCAATCGCTAAACGTCAGCCACCAGGTCGCTAAGGCCCCGTTTGGCTGCCGGTGGCAAAATATCGGCAGATACCTATTTTGTATGCTTATCCGGCTCTGTCGGAGCTGGCCCACACGGGCTTAGCGTGTAAGCAGAGCCTCGTCTCCCGACACGTCCTTCTCACCCTCAGAGTTGCTGGTTCGTTTTCGGTCAAACGATAAGCCCACAGCTGAGGGTGGGGGAAGGGGTGCATGCATGATGCATGCGGTCAGACTCTTGTCGGCAAATTAAAGCTGCCATAGTCCTTGCTCCTTGGTTTCCTCTCGCTGCATTCGTGATTCGTCCGCCGTCGGTGGTTGGTTTCTGGTTTCTCTGGCATTTATCGCGCAGTATCTGATGATCCGACATTCAAGCTCAATTGCCGGCCATGTGTGACTAAAAGGCTGAGGTTTGGCCGCTCAGGGAGCTCTCTTTCTCTCTTGTCCGTCCCCCCCCCCCTTCAGCCTCGAGTTTCGACCCGTCTACTATTAATTATACCAATACCCTTGTACTTGTGCCGACAGTATGGCCGCTTCCAGTGAGGAGGTGGTGGATCTATACTCTAAAATTAGCGACAGCCTAGTGCCCAAGGAGGATAGTCACGGCAAGAAATTCCTTCCCGATGCGAAGCTGAGGGAGCTGGTGAACAAGGAGAGCGTCGCCGAGTATCTCCGTACCAAGTATTGGGAGGAAGAACCCGGTCGCATTTCTTCCGAGTTGATATCCTTCATCGTCCAAAACGCGCCCAGACTCTTTGCCACGCTCGTCATGGCTGGTTCTGCCGACTCAATTGAGGCCTTCTACAAATTGGCATTCGGCCAAGACAGGCTGTCGCCGTTGCTGCCGCTTGCTGATAAAGACATCAAGAGGGGAATTGTCAACAATTTTGCTGTTGGGAATTTCCGAATCTGGCAGTGGAAATTCCTGGCCCCAGTCTTCGAGAAGGGCAGGTTCAGGTACACATTTGGGCCCGAAGAGATCCTGCCCTTCACTAATGATATATCATCGGTGGACAACCGGGACGGGGGCTACGGCTACGTATCGAAGCGGAGTATCCATGCGAGCCACATTGAGATCCCTAGCGGACAGCACATGGACGTCGACGACGACAATAATCCTTGGGTAGCTGTCAAGAAGATGCGTGTAGCCACCGACGCCGCGCGAGAGGCCACGTCGCTTGAGAAGATACAGGAATTCAACAACGGACATATCATCAGACCAATCGCCTATTACCAGTGCCCGGAAGGGCACTTCTTCGTCTTCCCTTGGGCCGAGAAGGGGAACCTCTGGGACTTGATAATGAATAATACCCCGAACATGGAGGAGGGGTTTCTTGTTTGGGCCTTTGAGCAGCTGGCCGGGCTGGCCCAGGCCCTGGCCCAGCTGCACGCCGATCCTCAGACCGAGCTGCACGACGTCGACCCTGAGTCAAAAACGTCACACACGCGTCACGGCGACTTGAAGCCTGATAACATACTCTGCTTCCAACGCAAAAGCGACACTGTCAAACCCTTCTACTCCGGGGTTCGCCTGGTTATTACCGACTTTGGGCTGGCCAAAGTGCAAGTCAAGGCGACCAAGCAGCGCAGCACCACCCAGACATCAGTATCCACCCTAAGGTACCAGGCCCCGGAGCTCAGGACGAAAGGAAAGCGGCTGTCGCGCGTCTTCGACGTCTGGTCGCTCGGCTGTATTTATCTCGAGTTTGCTATCTGGCTGGTCTTAGGCCAGGAAGAGTTGAAACTGTTTAACGAAGGAGACAGGGAGTTCTACATGTTGAAGGATGATCAGAACGCCATCATGGATCCCGAGGTGGGCAAGTGCATGAAAAAGATTAGAGAGCACCCCAGCTGCTGTGGAGCAATCAAGAAGCTCGTCGACCTCGTTGACAAAGAGCTCCTCGTTGTGTCGGTCAAAACCCTCGACGAGGATCAGGACATGGTGGGTAGATCGCGACCCGGCACACCCGCTCCCGACACACCCTCCCCGAGTAAGGAGTCGAAGTGGAAGATTCATTTGCCGCGACGCCTGGCTCGCAGGACCGCTAATCGACATACGGCTAATGCTCTCCCACATGTACAGACACATTATCGTGCTAGTGCTAGGGATGTGAGCACAGAGATGGAAAAGATTGCTAGGGATCTGAAGAACGATGGCTGGAAGCCTGTGACGGCGGTCAACAGCATCTAGGAAGAAGAGTCGCTAGTATGGCTATACTATTGTCTTAGGATTCTAAAGTAAAGAAAGAAAGAAGGAAAGTCTACAAAGGTACGATCGAGGGTGCGGGGGTATAGTGGGGTGCCGAGAGCGCACGGGCCATTATGGTTTGCCCTGCCAAGGCTCGTGACAAAGCCCCTCAAGGAGAGACCTACCTAGTTGGGTAGTTTGGTTCTTGTTGGAATAGCGATACTGGTGACCGCACACTAGCAGGGAGGAAGCAGAGATCGCGCGAGTACGCACGTGCAAGTAGGCACGTGCGGCGCGCGGACCTCTCACACACACACAAAAACCCCGGTCGCAAGCAGAACCTACCTTAGTTCCAGAGAGAGAGAGAAGATGAATAAGAACAACTTTACACCCCCCCCCCGGTAGTACTACCACTTTTTGACCCGTTCGAACACCTACGTGGTTGGAATACCACGAACAGTTCTGGCAACAGGGTCTCTATTACCTAAAATTGAGAACATTGTAATTTTGTAACCGTCGACTGCTTTTATCTCTGGCCTACACGTCGTTATCGCGCAAAGATGAAACGGATAGAGTGATTAAGGCCTAGTGGTATCGCGCTAACAAACAAACCAGGGCTGGATTGTACACACAGGCCGTTACACCGGACCGACATACGCCAGGTCTTTCGCCAGTGTCCCCACGGCCCGCATGCTGTAGCACAGTGCATGGGTATACGCGTTACATAAATACTAGGTACCTGGCATCTTCGGGCCTCTGGAAATACACAAGAGAAAGAATGACAATGAGAATGAGGAAGAAAAGGATTTACGAGATGAAACTTGAACCAGTAGGATGGAAAGCCAGAATTTCACCCAGATCAGATCTCTCCTGATGAAATTGAACGTCACATCAACGTCCAGGTCGTCATGGTCAGCACAGATTTCCAAGGCAGCAAAACAAACCCCCAACAGAGTTTCGGATGCGGCTGCCCCAAGGCTTCTTCTTTTGCGTGAGCTCTGGCAAGGCACCAGGACCCGGCTCTTGCAAGGTACCAGAACCCGGCTCTGGCAAGGCACCAGAACCCGGCTCTGGCAAGGTACCAGGACCCACCGTACAGTACTCCTCGTCGCATTTGTCGTATATCTCTTGAAACCTTTTGACAAGCTCGCTAGATTTGACCCTGGCATCTGGATCTAACTTTAGGAGCTTGTCCTGGATAAAGTCGAGGATCTCTCCAAAGAGGGAGCTACACCGCTCGTGCTGGCGTAGAGTGGCGATTTGCTACAGAAACGTGTTAACGGGGGCAGCCAAGCCAATTAATGCAAGCAAGACAGGACAGGACGGCAGGGGGTGGGTGCTACTAGCCTTTTTGACGGCGGGGTGATCGATGGGCTTCTTCTTGAAGTCTTGGGTGATTAGGTGGAAGAAGGTGTCCTCGGATACGTGCCAACCTAAGACTTCGTGCAGCGAGCCCCCCATGCGACTGATGGAGAAGGCATCAACGCCGTCCCAGCCTTGCATGTACCACGTGACGAACTGCAGCAGGACGCAACCCAGTGACCAAAGGTCGTAGGCCTGCGTAATGTTCGGATGCGTCTCGCACTCGGGTGCGCGGTACGACTGCGTCATGCCGATGCTCTGAGAGGGGACCTTGGACACGGACGCCTGGGTGTGGAAGTCGGCCAAGCCAAAGTCGCAGAACTTGAGGACCTGCGTTGGCAGTTGGTGGTGTCTGCCGTCGCCGTCGCCGTCGCCGTCGTAGTCGTAGTCGTTGCCGTCCTTGCCGTCGCTATTGAACCACAAGATGTTCTCGGGCTTTATGTCGCCGTGTCGCCCTTTGGTGGAAAGGTCGCCCTGCTTCCGCGGCGGCGAGTTATGAATCAAATCTAGGCCTTGCGCAAGCCCTAGCATCTCGCGGGCTACCCAGCGGGCCAGGCTGTAGCCACGCGGTTGGCTGCCATCGTGCTGCCAGAACTGCATCAGGTTCCCGTCGGCCCACTGGAAAATCAAACAAAATCGGGCCTGGTACTCAAAGCTGAACAACAGCTGTACGAGGCGCTTGCCGTTCTCTTCCCCGTCGAAGCGCCTCAGATGTTCGATTTCGCTTCTGGCAAGCGTGGCCAAGCCGCCCGCGTCGATGATCTTGGCGGCGTAGGGAACTTCAGCGCCAATCTTGTCCTAGGTCGGGACACAAGGCAGGTTAATAGAAAGCCGAGAAAAGCATGCCGTAGGGTGGCCACTCACCTTGACGATCCGTGGGCAGCGCGTCATATGTGCCGGATGGATATGTACCTTCCTCACAATCGAATTGCAGATGGATTCAAAGTCGGAATCCGTGACTGCAGAGCTCTTGGTAAATGGCAGGACGAACATGCTACGAAAATTCTTGTGTCCAAACTCAACCTTGGCCGGGACGACGCAAGGGCAGCCCATGCCGAAGCGAGGCGCCAGGAACTGCCACTGGGTGGTGAAGAAGCTATTGAAGTCCTCCAGGTGCCACTGGTCTTTTGTGATAACGAGGCTCTCTACCGTTCTCTTCTTGTCTCTGCATCGCAGCGTGCGGCTCTCCTGGTCCTGGTCGAAGGGGAGGTCGTCGTCAACTATACCCTCGCAGATGAGTTTGACAATCATGTAGGGCCTGCCCATCAAAGCCAGGATGGCAAAAAGCTTCCGCCGACACGATAAAATGCTGGCAAACACGTCGCACAATTCCATGTGGTGTATCTGCAGATTTTCGTGCGAGATGATTCTCGCTATCTCATCCGTGGGCAAAAAGCGTGAGGTTGACATCTCGGTGCCGCCCGTTGACAATATGGACGACAACCAGATGCAGGGTTTCAAGGCGACATAAATCTGATCTTGGAGGGGGGCCAGCAGCTCCCTGCGGCAGTCTTTCTCGGACGAGATGTGGCTGCCCATGGAGCTTGTCGGCGAGTGTGACCATGACGCCGAGCCGTCTTGGGACGTATAAGAGTTGGACCGCGACGAAGTGAAGTCGTCGCGCGCCCGCTCACTCGAATTTGTTGAGGATCTGAATGCCGATGAGTTGGTGGTGGCACTGTCATGGGGCCTGCCCAACGTGCCCGTGAAGCCTAGCGTGGCGCTGGTCCAGGAAGCCGGAAAGGACAAAGAACGCGTGATAGAAGTTGACTGTGTTCGTGGCGTCAGCAGTTACAAGACCCGGGTGCTGGGAGAATTAACTGGGCAGCGCTGACAATGGTCCCATCATCTTCCCAATTCTCGCTGGCCGTCGCGCCGACGTCGAGTTGCAACTGGGTTTGGCGCGGTGTGTGTACCGGGGTTCGCCACTGGCTCTGCTGGGGTCTGCTCATGGCGTATCGGGAGATCGCAAGGACTTTGCAGTGGCTGAGGTGGAGAGCGGTGAGACCCAGTGATGATGCGGTGAAGCCTAGGTAATCATGGCCGTGGACGATTGAGCGCGCGTTGCGCGGGTAATGATATACTCGGCCCTACGCTCCAGAGTCACCGTAGCCTCGCCAGCCATTGCTTTACTCTCCCTCCGCTTCATGTCCGACAAATCCTCATGAAGATAAGGCGTCACCTCCTGGACGTCCCGTCAAAAGGCGACAGAGTCCTGAGAATGCCGTCGATTCTCGGTGAGCGGCGGCACTGTAACCCACCCGACTTTGAACCACACCATCTCCTCTCTGTATCTATCTGCCTCTCTTATCTTTGGAATGGCTGTGCCCAAGTTGTGAGCCACACACGGCTTCGATGATGAGGGTCACTGTCAATGCCGGTTCAATATTATTCCAAATCTAGGTAGCTAGGTTGGATGACGTTTCTCGACGCCATACCCTGTGCTCCAATTCACGAGAAAACTACCCAAGTACCTAGTTAAAGAGAAAGGAGAGTACGTGTGGAGCAACACCCGGAACCATCCTTGGCTAGTACGGAAAGATGGTGTGAGCGAATTTTCTTCAAGGACAAGAATTGCTAGGCAAGACGGCGGCGGGCACATCTGCGAAGCCCTACCCGAAGGAAAATTCTGACGAGGCTCTCTGATGTCCAAGGTGGCCCGAGGTAGGCAACCAGGGCCACAAGGTCACGCTTTGCTTTTTTGAGGTCAATATCTGACCAGGGAGGGTCACAATGCCTAGCTACTGACCAATACGCTCCTCATTCTCCCTTCTAGAGACGGGAGGTGTCCCGCACGAGCGCATCACGCTTCCCTTTACGGACCACAGCCGGCGGCCTCCGAGCCATCCCAGGACAGCGTCCGGTAACGAAAACAGTTCCAACCGTCTGACCGCGCCCCCCCTCTTGGTGTATTTATTTGCCCGACACGACTTCAAGGGGGCGGCAAGGGTGTGGAGATGAGGACTGAAAGAGCGGTCACCAATCATCCGTGGTCACTTATCGGCCTCGTGAGCTCCTTCACACCACCCCGAGGGCAATATTGGCCTCAGTACCACAGATACCTTGCTGTTCCCTTGCGCGCACGGACATGCCGGCGGTGAAAAACCTTGTAGTGGTGGTCTCGGATGTGGGTGGCTTATCTCTTAACCATCCCTATCCGACGGCACTCGAAGTAGGGAGCCGGGCAGAGTTCAGAAGCTTTTTCGTCTCGGGACCTGGGCTTGCTGCCTCGCACTCCATCTCCCCACTCCCACCCCTTCTCCTCTTTCTTTTCCCTCCTTCTTCATCTTCACCGGCAAACATCTCATGCACAGCTCTCTCCTTGAAAGATTAGAAAGCCATCTCGATAAACTCTTTCAAGGGCTCATTCTCTCTTCAGCCGCAAAAGACACCACAATCTTGATCTTTTATCATGGCCAGCAAGCCAAACCAGCAGGACGACAAGAGCGTCTCGCCGTCGTCGCCGGACAGCCCAAGCGAGGAGGTCCGTAAGCTGCCTACCAGATGTGTTGAGAACATCGACAGTCTGGTGAAAGCAGTCCAAACTCTGGTCGGGAATGAGGGCACGTTCAAGATTGAAGTGAGTTATCTTCTCCCACACCATGCCGTGATTATTGGCGTGAATATCAAAGGCAAGTCAATAGTTAACCCACGCCAACAGATGCGGCATAACTCCTTCTTCGTCCGATCGGCTGTCAAGATTGAAATGGTTCGTCTTGTTGCCCCTCTGCCCCTCTGTCCGTCTGTCCCTCTCCCAAAACAGTGAACTTGACGGTTGAGAGAAACTTCGTATCATTATAGAAGCAGCTTTTGGAGCTGATTGCCCCAAAGGGGCGACGGCTCTCGGCATGGAAGTTGGACGAAAGCGAAATGCTTCCGCACAGCCTGGGTGCCGAGGCAGACACGGGTCACCAGATCACAGCCAATTGCAGTTCGGAGGATGTCAGTGTTAGCGCTTGACAGCACGTGCCAGGCATGGGCGCTAGCTGCTGCATAGCCGCTAGGTCTAGGGTTTGGTTTCTCCTTCTCTCACTAGCCCGCCACTTTCTTAGCCGTTACCAATAGAGTCTTTGGATTATCGCCTTTTGCTTTGGCTTTATAATGATAATACAGTCAAGGTTTTATCACCAACGATAGTTAGAGGTAGAATTGGGCCATGCATTGTGAATGGCTGTTGCGCCTGAGCCCTGAGGGACTGAGGGTTCACTTTCGTAGCTCAAATAGCACATCTCGTGCAGGACCTGGTTGTTGCCGACGAGACTGCCAACGACGGAAATGTCCCGGAACACGACGTCGCCCGACGCCAGCCGGAACCCGTCGCACGGAAACGACTCGACGACGCAACGGCCATAATCACGCAACAGCGCCACGCCGTAGTCCAAGGCGCGCTGGCTTTCGGGCAGTACACCGAGTAGCCGGGCGGGTGGGCGGACTGCGCCGCCAGCCTGCGCGCGGGCCGGCTCGATCCCGCCGCCGACATCGACCTAGTGGTGCTCTCGCACGTGCACTGGGACCACGTCGGCACGCCGTCCGACTTCGCGCGCGCTACCTTTGCCGTCGGCGCCGGCACCCTCGACCTGCTGCGCCATGGCGCTGTACCCGGCCGAGCTCTTCAACCACGACGAGCTGCCCGCCGCGCGCACCGTCGAGTTCCCGCCCGGCCCCCCCCGGGCGAATCGTCGTACGAGGCCAGCAATGCGAGACACCCCCCTAAGCACACGCCCATGCCGCACGGTACGGCCGCGCCGCTGCTGCCTGCTGGCGTCGGCTGGCAGCCGCTGGCCGGCTTCCCGCAGCGCTAGACGTGTTCGGCGACGGCAGCGTGCACGTCGTTGACAGCCCGGGGCACCTGTTCGGCCACGTCAACCTCCTCGCGCGGCTTGCCAGCGACAGGTACGTGTACCTGGGCGGCGACTGCTGCCACGACCCGCGCATCCTGCGCGGCGACAGCGGCAATGCGCTGTACGATGATGGCCGCGGCGGGCTGCGCAGCGTGTATGTCGACACGGGGGCTGCGCGGCGCACGCTCGACCGCATTGCTGCGTTTGTGGCGGGCCATTAGGAGGGCGCGGCGGTGGCGTCGGCGGCAGTGGGGAGCAGGTGCCGGTGCAGGTGGAAGTGGCTGTTGCGCACGGCGCCGTGTGGAGGGAAGCGAATCGGTCGGCACCGGTTCTGACCAGGGACGCTGTGACGGTTTCTTGCTTGGCTACTTGGTTACTTTGTTGGTGTCTGCCGTGCTGCAACATAGGTCAAGATGCCCGGCCCCGATGCTCTAATTACTCTCCAGTCTAGAATGGAGGTGATGTAACGACTTATAGAGGTAATCATTCGTGAGCCATCTTAACATACTGGAAAGTTCTATAATTTCTTCAAATCTATAAATTAACTTGCCCTCCTAGGCCCTTATGCTGTCAAGCTAGCAATAAGGAATATAGATAATGGATCGGAAGAACCGCAAAATGTATTATATACGCTAGATGGGAATAACAGCATATGGAAGATAGGTGTCACGGCCGGCTTGGAATGAGGGCGGAACTCCTCTATTGGGCGCTATAGACGAAGATTCTGAACTAAAGGGAAAAGGGAAAAGAAGCTCAAAAGCCTCCCCTCGCGAGATTCTTCCAGGGCGTCTCAAGATGGGGCTCTGGCCGAGCTTCCATTGGTCAGTCGGGTGGATCCCTCTGGCTGGTCGGGTGGATCCACCCGGCTGGCGTCTGATTAGTCAGAGCGTCTGGGAGGTCTGGAGGACCAGGCCCTCACAGACGCCGTCTAACATGCCTGCGACCAAACTCAGGCTCTCAAGCCAGTAGAGATACTTCTTCTTAAGAAATGTGTGAACCAAGCCGTGGTCCTGAAGGGCATCCTTTCGCCCGGACGCGCAGAGATGCTCAATTCAGTGGACGCACGAGTACCGTACCGTCGCCAGCGGGTCTGGGCAAGGCGTTTTGATACTGCTAATAAGCGAGCCAGGAGCGCGGAGGCCGTACATATCACGACTGAGTGTTTGGGATATGGCGTTGAGCGACTTTGAGAAGATCGTGTAGTGTAACTCTTCTACTCCAGAAGGGAAGATGGCGGATTTGTTACCGACGAGAAAGTCTTGGGCTGATCGATGGACGAGGTAAACTTTGTCGTCTCGAAGGAAAAGAAACGAGCCACAGAGTCCGACAATCCCCCGAAGAGCCCCTAAGGGATCTGTAACACGTTGTAACCCGTCCACAAAGAGTAGTAACTCTTGTAAGACAAGGGGTCTGCGAACAACCGATGCGATGGCAAGCGTATACCGACAACGCTCGACATCCCCTGAACTATTTAGCCGGTCCGACATCCGGCCATACAAGCCATCTAGGCCAGGGGGAAATGTGCTCAGCTCGGTGATGGCGTTCCATTGCGGGACCGACTCGAGGTTCTGGCAAACCAGGGCCACCCAGAGAAAGGTACCGTCCGCGTGTGAGGAGAGGTAGTCCCGGATAGCCGTTTCTGTCTCGCCGTCGTAAGCTTTCTTCTCTGATAACTGGCTGGTCTTATGACGGATATAATGATCGACAGCAGCAGTAACCGATTCCGCATTTAGCTCGAGGCAAAGGGGGATGTTCTGCGCTGCTTTCAGTTCCTCTTCGATTTGCGACCAATTTCGACTGGAAACGATCCACTTGACGCGAGACGAGACGGACGACTGCCGGACAATGAATTGGAGAAGATTGCGTCGATCTCGGTCGTCGGCGCACTCGTCCAGCGCGTCGATTATGAGACAGGCGCTTGGAAGGGCCGGATCCTGCAGCACATCGGCCAAGATCTCCGACAGTGCGAACCAGGCGTTCTCTTCCTCGAACAGCCGCTCGCCGGCGTGCTCGTGCTTCTTGCGCACATACCCGAGGAGGGATGGTCGCTGCTCGATGAGCATGTAGAGCAGGCCGCGGACCACGGCGGTGGCGTTGTTGATGTGTTTGTTGGTGGCTTGGCAGAAGAAGGAGAGCAGGCCGGGGATCGTGGACTGGTGTACTTCTTGGCGTAGCTCGTCGATGATGCCGCAGAGCAGCATGGTCTTGCCCTTGCCGGGATCGCCCTTGATCCAGAGTAGACGGCTCTCTAAATTGTCGCGCCACTCCGTGAACTCGGATTTCTGGAGAACCCACCGATACGAACCCTCAAGTAGGCCGCCTTTGTCATGCTCAATGCGCTTCTTGTCGTCGCGGGGGTCAGTAAGTCGCAAGTGCTGTACGCATTGCAGTTCTTTCTCGGACAGCTGCTGGACCACAAGTTGACGTAGATAGGAATTGGCCTGTAGTGCAGTGTAGATGGTGGTATTGGCTTTGAAGCGCTCCTCAGCGTCATCCTCCCACAAGAACGCATCGGCAACCACTACTGTCGGCCGTGCTCTTTCCGTTCAGAAGAGTTGAAGATAGATTTGGAAGATGAGGAAAACGGCGTCGAGTATCCATTTCAATGCGTCGCGAGGTCTCTTTCAAGAATGAAAAACGCGACTGAGTTGATCAACTATATGCAGTCGAATAGTCGATACGTGCTGTGGAACTTTCAAAATACAACGTCTCAATCTGGCACGGTGGAGTTCCGAGGCGGCAGACATATGAGAAGGCCTGTGCGGACTAAACGATGGATCGCGTTCACTGTAGCATTTGTCGCCAAGGTGATCGAAGATGTAAGTCAGTCGCGGAGGAGCTGCTCCGGCCGTGTCGACTAATATTTTGACAGAAGTATATCTTCAGCATGTCTGCCCAGTCAGATATAAACAAATGGTGGCAGAGCATTCGCCATCATGCTATGGATCTTAGCATGGACGAATTTCTGCCCGGGAGTTGGAGGTCTATGCGGGACATAGTTAGATGAATTCTAATGGGCCCGTGTTTGATCTGAGCCTTCTGTACTAGCGTGTCCCTTTTGGAGCCTATCCATTACGTCGAAACGTGCCTAGTCTATCGAAGCCGCTTTTATCGATAAATATGTAATGGTATGGTCGGCATCCCATTAGTTTAAGCCGGTAATAGTAAAAGTGCTATTCGGTCGTATTGTACTGTATGCATTTGATACAATGTAAGGAAAGGCAGGTACGCCGGATCAAGGTGGTCACAATGGAGGCAACAAGAAGGTGAGAAATGACTGGCAATGGTGTAAGACTTCAACCTGGCCCTCGCAGAGGGAGGTGGGCGAGGGCCACTACTTATATACATAGTTTGGAAGTGTGTGGGGAATGTGTTCGTGGAAGCGTGGTGCCCCGTGTGAATCCGTTGCCAGCTGGTGGCAGGTGGTGGGCGCGCACAGAGTGCGCGCATGTCAGGGAGTGTGTGTGTTGAGGTGCTCTTTCCTTACATACAACCAGTAGAGTAATTAGGCTGCTAGCAGCTGTGGAGTCTGGGCGGTAGGTATTGAACAATAAGTGTAAACCCGTATAGGGTCTAATAAATAGAGTCACAATTTGGGTGACCAAATCCTTATGAGTCTAGGGGGCTTAGATTGACTATCGGCGTCCACACCACAAGGCGGTGGGAGCCAGCTTTTGTATACTAGTCCAATACTCACGATGCCTTAATGAGTCTCACTGACTCTTAGTGAGGGAGTCACGTATCTTCTGAGAGAGTCTTGGACCGTGCGTAACAATTTGGCGCCCAGTCATCCAAATGAGGAATTATATCCGCCAGGGCGCTGTAAGCCAGCGGCCTATACATTACATCCATGGTAAGCCCATTCACGAGGTGAATCCCTTCGTCTAGAAGGTCGTCGATTAAGGGAACTGCAATATCACGAGAGTAGTATATCATGTCCTGGGTCGCGCGAATGAGATCTTTCCGAGCTTCTGAATTGTTATCGGGACAGTCCCTGAAAAGCCTAGCAACGATGTCCGGCTCCAGCCACTCCAAAGCCTTAACCATCTTGTCATGGACTACCTGAAGGAAGGGGGTGAAGACTCGTAAACTAGACAGCAAAGTGCGAAATACGAGCTCCGTAATGCACAACTGACTCCACGAAAAGGTCGGCCGGACAATGCTATTCGAAGTAAGCACTACCGATACTGTACCACACTTTTCTTGACGGTCGAATCTCACAAGATTAAATACTGCCATAAGTCCCCTAGTAGGTGCTGTACTCTTCATATCAGCGCTACGGTTCGCCGAAGAAACCCCAGCCAGCTTATACCTCAAAGATTCCATGCTCTTCAATCTCTTCGCTGGTGAGAAAGCTTTGCTGACATTGTGTCTGTGGTAGCGCTTTTATATATTAGAGCCTGCGCTTTGGAAATTCATCATGTCCTACCTTCGTTTTCTCGTAGGACAATAGTCCCGCCTCCAGATATCTGGAAGAGCTTTAATGATTCCTCGCTTAACTTCCGGTCGCACAAACCGAGATCCTCTCCAATTGGCGCATAGCAGTTGATATCTACCGGATACCTATCTCCCGGGTCAGTCTGTTCGTTGAATATAAAAGTATGCATTGCGAATGTTGTATAAGGTATAGATTTAGTTATACCCACAACTTGTGAAATGGTAGTTATAAATAGGGCTGAAAGATTTGATTCTACCTTAATAACAGGTGGTGGGCAAAGCTTTCAAATGGAATGGGAACATATCGGAGTGATGCAAAGAGCCGGAAGCGAGCCTGTGCCGCTTGTAAAAGTTAGCTCCTGGCACTGCCCATGTAAAGTGAGGCGAGCGATAGTAACTCCATGCAGGATTGAGGATGAGCATTGGGGCCGTTAAGTGGCGCAAAGCGGAAAAATGTTCTGGTGCGCTGGCGTGGAGTACGCTGATTGGCGCTGGTTGGGGGTTGCCCGACCAGGCGGTAAGGGTGTGACTTCGCAGCAGGTCTTCCCATGTCACAAAAGATGCCTCACCGGGGCGAAAAAGGGATTGCTGCCTGGTCGTGGATCACGTTCGCTGGTGGCGATTGGCGAAGAGATTGCCCAGCTTTGTACAGTCTCGCTGCCGAAGCGGTGTCGTAGCCAAGCCATACAACCAGGTGAGCCGCAAGTCAAAATGACTTCCCGGTCCTATCCAATTTCATATTCATTTCATATCACCTTAGGTACAAGATGGAGCGCCAATCCATCTCAAACCGCTATATCAAGCTAGAAGACCTTCGTAGTCTTCTTATTTCCAAATTCGGGGCCGGTAGCTTTAAAATACAGGTAGGTCGGGAACCACTATATTGTTGGCGACGGATTTTGACCCTATTTAACTTAGGAGAGAGACGAAAGCTACGAGATCAGTAGAATATCTATCACGAACTCCCGTGGCACTGGGCGCAGCGCGCCCTGGTGGGGCACCGGGAGCGGGGTAGTGGGGCCTCAGGCCACAACGCGCTAGCGGGCCCGAGAGCATGCAGGAAGCAGTTCGGGCCTGGCCCGAACTGGGGCCGCTCTGTCCCCGGGCCTGGCCCGAGCGGAGGAGGTGTTGCCTCCGGGCCTGCCCTCATTGGCCAGCCATAGATAGATATATACGACGACCGTGGCACCGGTCTTAGATAGTTCTTGCTTGGTTCCTCAAGCAAGCAATACACATTCACTGCACTCATATACTTTGAGTGGCATTCCGATTTGACTGTATTACCCGTGTGTTGCACGCGATCGAAGTTGACAGCGCATTGAATTGTCTGCTCAATAGGTCTAAAAGTACAGAAAAGAACGCTTCCTTATACTCGTGGAGAGAAGGCAAGGGAGGCGTTGTAATCAGCCCGAAAGAGGGCATTCCGAATGAAATGAAGATATTCCGAGTGATGCCTGATTGAGCGAGGGAGCGCCAAGACAAGGTCATATGACCGGCACGTGTAATTTAAGTACATAGGTACATAGGGAAGCGGGGCTTACCCTGACGCGGTTAGACCGCGTCTGCCCCACCAAAGGACCACATTAAGGTCCTCGGCAGGGCAGTGCTCCCGAGCTTCCTCCCTCGATCATCAATTTACCTACCTTTTCACGAATAGCCTACCGCATTCCGTGATCTAGGTGACGATCACCCTTCACCGAGTCAAGAATGAAGGAAATAACAAAGAATGAAGGAAGCTCAGAGGCATGTCAACCAGGGCCTGTCCAATTCCATGAAAAGTGGGTCAATTCCAGACGACACTGTGCGATAGGAGCTTGCCCTTTGTTTTATCTTCATAATTACTAACCCTAGCATCCTGTGGAGCCCGTGCTCCCTTACAGACAGACGACCCTAACAGTCGAGTGGTTTGTAATACGTTGCTTGCTTCCTTCCTTTGGTACTGATTGAACAGAGTGCTCATCGCACACCGACAAGCTGGCTACACCACGGACAGAGGATCCGGTCGGAACCCAGCCAGAAGAGAACCCTGTGGAGTCCAGTGAGGACGACGTGGTCAGCGATTCCAGCAGTGAAGCAGGATCGGTAGCACCGGAAGATACGCACCTCAGAGACGCAGACGAGGAACCGGAAACCCTCAGTGAAGGATCAGTTACCCGGCTCGCTCAACAACTGGAACCCCTTGCGTTAGGGGAAGACACCATGGCGACCCAAGGAGGATTGGCACCAACTGCCAACGAGCTAGCCCTTGAGGCTGAGCTGCGAACCTCCAACGCGCGGATCGCAGTCCTGGAGCAGGCGCAAGCCCAGGTCACGGGGCCAAGGATCAAGAAGGCTATGATTCCCATGCCGCCCCGTTACGTAGGAGACCCGGAGAAGTTCGACTCGTGGGGGACGCAAGTCATCGCGTACATCGGCTACTATATAGCCGAGTTCCCGGACAGACTGGACCGCATTACGTTTATCGGAGCACTACTAGACGACAAAGCCGCAACCTGGTTTGAGCCTTACCATAAGGCGATTAACCAGGCCGACAAGGATCGGGACCCCACGATCAGGAAGATCATGGCCGACGGGCATCGAGCAGTGCTTAAGGAGATGGCGAAGTTTTTTGAGGACCACCAACGACTACTCAAGACGGAAGAACGAGTCGATCGTTTACGCTAGACGCGTTCAGTTGCGGAATACGCGGTAGACTTCCAGACCCTCATGCTACGGCTTGACTGGACCTTGCAGAGCCAGCAAAAGGCATTCTACAAAGGACTCAAGGACCACGTGAAAGACGAACTCTATAAGGAAGAACGACCTGACACTCTGGATGAGTATATTAGGGGGGCGATCGCCATCGACGAGCGATACTTCCAGCGGCAGAGAGGAAAGCGCCAGGACAACGAGAGCGGGAAAGGTAACCGCTACAACAAGCCTAACGACAAAAAGAAGAGGCACACGCCAAGCACCTCGTACAGCACTCACCCAGGACCAATGGATGAGAGCGTCGGCGCACTCTCTCAGGCACAGCCCAGGAACCAGGGCCAGGGACAGCGGCCACCACGCGACAAGAAGAACGACACTTGCAACAACTGTGGCAAGATAGGCCACTGGGCTAGAGATTGCCGACAGCCCAAGAAACAGGGACAAGGAAGACCTCCGAGCGACAGGAGGGCACGCTTCAACGATTCCCAGGCCATTGGTGTTACGGCACGGCCGAACTATGGCCCGTGGTGCCGCAACCATGCACTGGCTGGAGGCTTCACCTCGCAGCCCCTCTTCCCAATCAGGACTAGCCCGATTACCCCACCACTCAACCACAAAACCACAGCCTGCAGGACCGCAGGCTTCTTCTTTTCCTTTTCTTTCCTTAGCTTAGTTATTTACGAATACAGCCATTCTTTACTTGCAGCATTGACTCTCGTATATGCCTGCCTTCACAGTAGACTCTAACATCGGTATACATAGTCTTCCGCGGCCCCTTTCTTTCCGTTCACTACAATCGACCCTTTTTCCTACCTTGACATCCTCTTCGAAGTTACCTGCAGATGGTGACAGTACCTACCTAGGTAATTACAACTTGATGGTGAGACTCCAGCGGCTTGAGCATAATTATATCCCCATCAATTTCCCATCAATTCTCCATCAACTCCTCAACTACAACAACAACCACCACGTCCCAACAAGGACAGAAAAGGAAAAAACGACACCTCTCACAATAAGACCTCCGTCTCGGCTAAGTCAGGTGACCAGCTTTTAGACCAACCCCCTTTTAGACCACGCACTAAAATCGCCACCCCACCACATCATAAAATTCAATTGCTCACAGCTTCGTCAATTAGATAGCTACGTTAATACAACTTGCAGTGTCAGATTCCTCTTCTTATGAAATTTTAGAATCTATAACATTCTCCCCAGCAGTTAATCTTTGTGCGCAGCGGATCTCCTCAATACCAGCAAAGGCCTTATTGGGGTCGATTTCCACCCTCCTTCTCTTCCGGCCTCTCGCACGTTCGAGGTCTTCCTAGGCCGCTTGCAATTGTTGTTGAATGGTATCCAATTGGAAGGCCATGTTATCGAATCCTTTGTAGGCTTTCCGCATAAAAAGCCGTACGCTGGCAGTACGTTTATGTAAGGAAAGAGCACCCCAAACGCCCGGTCCGGCCCAGGCGCCACCAGCTGGCCCCAAACAGCTGGCCCGGCCCAGGCGACCAGCTGGCCCCAAACACCCGGCCCAGGCACCCGCCAGATTGAGCCACCCAACTATGTATATAAATAATGGCCCTCGCCCACCTTCCTTTGCGAGGGCCAGGTTGAAGTCTTTTACCAATGCCAGTCATTGCTCGCCCTCTTGTTCCCTCCATCGTGACCACCTTGATCAGGCGTACCTGCCTTCTCTTACAGTTTAGTACCACGTAGAAAACGCTCCCCCTGAGCCGAGAAATCCTTGGCCTCTTTAGGGGTAAACCACAAAGGCCGGCCCTCCGAATTCTTGCCCAGAATGGGGTTATTGAACAACTCAAGGCCTGCAGAAGGTGTGGGGGCTAAGTTAGGTGGGGGAGTAAGCGAACGCCACTGATCCAGAATATTCTAGATAAGCGAGGAACACAACCAACCCTCTTATA